GGTGACCCAGATGGCAGCTGGAACTGCTGGTAAGTGCCAGGGGTTTTTGTTTGTTTGTTAGTTTTTTATTGTGGGGATGCAGGGGTGGTGGGGCAGGGATCAGGGGGCCAGCAGCCCCCACGACCCCTTACATATCGGCGCTAGAGCCCTGCTGCTGGCACACTGCCTGCCCTACATGGGCAGGCATTATGCTTCAGCACTAGGGCGAGGGCCAACCACAGAGAACCTCTGGTTGCCTGCCCTGCTTTTTTTAACTCCATTTTTTTTTTTAGACCCCTGGATATCCAGGGGTCTAATTTTGCCCCCGTGCTGCAAACTCACAGGGGAGGGAACCTTTTCCTGTTCCTGCACGTGCTTCTTGCAGTGTCTCAAAGGGGTCTGAGACACATGCAGGTTCATCTGGATGCATCCAATGAAGGCATACCTCAAGAAAACTGATGCTAACATCAAGCATTGGCAGGAGCTAGCTGCCAGTTGACTGCAATGGCACCACAATCTCAGCCCATTTGGAGGTAAAGTATCTTGCCCTTGAAGCAGAGAAGAGAAAGCAGAGGAAGGAAAAGGAGAGGAGTCACAGCCCACAGCCTACTCTCCCTTGCAGAAAGACCTGCAATATTTGCAGATGGATCTGTGGTTCAAGGATTGGACTCTAAAGTCATCTTAGGATCCATCAATGAGCCATGGTAGAGATCGTCCTCATGTGGAGCGATTGCCACTGCCACCGCTAATCAATAAAAGATCCAGAGAATAGTAGTTTCACATTGACAGCACCAGTCAGCCTGACTATCTGGTGAACAGTATGCACAGAGAAATGAAGGCACCCTGTCTCTCTCTCTTCCTGTTCTCCCCAAAAAACTGATTGGGAACAAAGAAGGGCTACTGAAGAAATAAATGGTAAAATCATAAAGCAGATGTTATACTTGTGTGATTTCCTTAAGGACAAGATATCCGCTTGTCTCTAAATTCTGACAGCACAATTGATATCTGCAGAGACCATTCGCCTTCCCTAAGTTACTCTGAGAAACACTCTCTCAGAATTATTCTTTCAAATTAATCATGGCACCATTGGTTTATATCATAGCTTTGTAAATTATATAGAATGAGTTTTCAAAGGTTTTCTTTTCACATAATATTTGTCTCATTAAGTTAGGAGTCAAAGAATGTGCATTTTTATGGCCTGAAATCCCAAACTTATTATCATGCTCTTCTCTTCCCTTGGCAGAAAACTATAGTTTTGTTTATGGTAGATGTTGTCTGTGCAATATTTTCTAGCCATGCAATGTTAGAGAGACATAGTTGAAAAATCAGTTATCATGTATCAGCTCTCAAATCAGTAGTTAAAGAACGGTGCCAGGTACATTTGAGGTTTTTTTGTACTGTTTTTCTCCAGAGTAGGTTTATAGTGATATAAATAGAAGGTACATTTTGGGATGGAAAATACACAATTCATTATGTGGACCAGCATAACTCTCTGGCCATGGGCCACAATTCACTAATGGTGTAATTTCCATACCCCACATGGTACGGTCATGTATCTTTTTCTTTATTTTGAATACTTTAATCATAAACAGATGTCTAGACTGAATACCTTCATAGCTGTCCTTTCTATAGTGGTAGGGGATATGTACTGCAGCATAATATCCAAGCATGCCACCTGCAATGCTGTGCATTGTTTGAGAGAGTGGTTTGGACTTGGCCAACACACAATTGTTGCTAGATTTATACCTGAGACTACAGCTGTGGTGATTCTAGTGGAATACTGATGAATGTAAATTGATTAAACTGATTAAATTGATTCTTCTTCCTGCTTAAATTAAACCCAGCACATACCAAATAGATTGTTTCATACTGATCCTCATGTAGACTTCTTGGCCCCTACATGGGCATCACTACGTCGGAGGACAATATGTTCCTGTATTAAAAGTCGGAACAAAAGTATACATATCCTGGTTAATGAAAATATCCACACTCTCAATTCATGAACTATACAACCATGTTGAATCACTATTGTTGAAGGGAATTGCATCACAGGTACATTGGTGACAAATTTAATATGGTTTAGAGGTAATGTGGAAGCATTCTTAAGCTCATTTAACAATTGTCCTTGTTGCAAGTAAGCATGGTACAGTTTAGCAAAAATGTATGATATTAAATAAATCTTACAAATAATAAGTTCTTCAATAAACATTAACCCACCAGTCTAGTAGAACTGGAAAGAATATAGATTCTAGTTCCTCATGACAAATAAGTAAGAAAAGTTTTGCAGACAAAACCTCAGAAATATTGAAAGCCTAGTTGCCAATGGGCAAGTAAGGAATTGGCCACATAGCAGTTGCCATTACTTGTAACTAGAGCTGAGTGTCCAGTCCTCTTGGCTTTCTTTTTTTAAAAAGAGTACTAGAAACAGTACTCCTTGAAGGCTCCCAAATCAACATCTTAATATTTTATATTAATACAAGTAATCTAGCTCCTCTCCCATGATATTGAATACCCCAGGTAGGCATGATATGATTATGGTCAGTTAATCATATCCCCTCTTCTTTCTCCTAGCTCACCTGCAGTAGAAATCCATGCTTGATATCCACCCTGACTTTATTTTTTGGTTAAAATGTTCTACTAGACAGCTGAACTGGTAGATGGTTGAAGGCTTCCCTTTTTTTTTTTTAAATAAAAAGTTGAGGTCAGAAAGAAAACAAAAAAAGTACAGACAGTCAAAAAGCCTGAGGCGGAATCGATTCAATCTTTGCAGGTTACTCTAAACTGCAGAGATTAAACTGAGAAACAACTGGACACATTTACTTTTGATTCAGGAAACGCAGCCACATGCCTGCAGTGGCTCAGGTCAGAACCCGGGGGGTGCTAGAACACACCTCTCTGGCAGTTAGTCAGCATGGACTGTGTGTTTCCTTCCTCTTCCTGCTGCTACTGAGGTATCTGGGATTTGCAGTCCAGAACTACAGGAGCAGGAATCTGCAGGGTTGTTCATCTCTGCCTACTTCCAGGTACCTTTGGGATTTGTAGTCCACAGTCACAGCCAGCAGTAACTTTCAGTAAGTTTAGCAGCAGGGCAGCTCTGTTTAACCCCCATTCCCTGACCCCAGACCTCAGCCTGGGTTTGCCTGTGGGGGCAGTCTCTGCCTCTCCCTACCCCCACCTTTCTCTGCTGGAGCAGACAGCACAGCCCAGAGATGGAAAGCATGCTGGGAACTGTGATTTAATTTGAACTAGGAAGGGACAGATGTTTCATAAACCAGTTTGACCCAAAGCAGTTAAGTCTGATACTACATTCAACAAAGTTTATCTTAAACCAGTTTCAGCCATTTTGAAACTGCTTTTTGTGCACTGAACTTCTTTTCTCTTACAGGTCTAAACCAGTTTCTGATGACTTAAGCCAGTTTATGTGTAACTTCTGTCCCTAGCCAAAGTGTCTGCAGATCATCTGATTAGGCATTTTGTGTTTCGCCTTCATTTAGAGTTGTAGCCTGCAAGGTTCTGCTAAGAATTTCAACTCCTTCTGACAATTCTTGTTATATACAGACAGAGAAAAGTGTGTGTGTGTGTGTGTGTGTGTGTGTGTGTATGTGTTAGGAAGGAAGGAAAAACAAACAAACAAACAAACTAAAACAATCCACTGCACATAATTTCAGGGAGATGATAAGAGAAAATTGAACAATGTATGATGGTTGTTAGACATTCTATAGAATACACTACCAGATTTTGCTCAGAAACTATGGTGCCAATTAAAGAGAATACCCATTATAGAAAAGAATACGTATTATATTCAATTGAAGTGGGAAAGAAAATTGTGATGTGTGACACATTTGGAACTGCCCTGTAATCATGTATTAATATAATATAGAAAGTGGCCTAGCTATTGGGGTATTTTCTATATGATTATATTGGTCAAACTCAACATGTTCATCTGAAAACCAGATAAGTGGGGAAAGAATGGTTCTAGGTAGCCACCTTTTCAACATAGTGTTAAACATTGGCATGGGACAAATTTAAATTTATTAGCTTTGATTTCTCTTTCCTTCTCCTTCCAGCCAGCCTGAACATCTGGTTTGGACTAGAACAGAAAAAGGAGGTGAACAAAATAATTAAGAAGTCCTTTCCCTCTGAGAGATGTGGTACTTGATTATAGGTACTAGACTGCGAGAGACACAGGACCCTACTGAGTTTTCTGGAGAAGCTGGATATGTTAAGCTAGCTATCTGCAAGACTTTAGGTAAGACGGGTGTATGTGTGAATTCTTATTTACATTTTTTTCTAATGATTTATTCTAACTGTTAAAATAAACAGAGGTGTAGCAAGCAGAGGGGCCGAAGGCAAACCCTGCCAGAGAGCTGGGGGTGCATAGGTTTCAAAAGCAGGGGGGTATTACTCATGCCAGGAATTCCTAAACAGTCTTTGGCTATGCTGCTGCAGCCACCACATGCTCTGCCTGTCTCAGCTATTGCTGGGGCCTCTTTTGTAGTTCCTAATATGGGTATACTGCTGAGGCATGGACTCTGTGGTGTGGAGGCAATTCTGGAGCCCTCCCCCCCACAACAACTTGGTTCCCCTCTCACCCACCCCTAATTCTGAAAATAAACAACACTTTTCCTTGTCTATCATATATTACAGATTACTGAAAGGATGAACTACCAGGCTAGGGACAGAAATTACACATAAACCCATATAAGTGACTGGAAACTGGTTCAAACAGAAGAGAAGTTCAGTGCATATAAACCACTTCCAAAATGGCCAAAACAGGTTTAAGATAAACCTGGATGGATGTAGTACCAGATTTAAATAATTTAAGTTAAATTGATTTATTGAACTTCTGTCCCAGATCCCTTTCGGATTCAAGTTAACTCACAGTCCCCCAGCATCCCAAGATGCTTTGCACCTCCCCAAAAAATCTAACCTAACATGGTGAGTGGGCTATCCATGGCCCACACTGTCTGCAACAGCCAAGCAGGGAGATGTGCTCTAGCATCCCCCAGCTTCTGGCCTGGGCTACTGCAGGCATGAGGCTCCATTTCTGGAAGCAAAAGTGAATGCTTGTTCAGTTGCTTATCGGTTAAATCTATGCAGCTGGAACAGAAGTAGGGCACTTTCCTGTTGGGGTAGCCCATTTCCCTGTCGTCTGCCATGTCTTTATGTAATACTTAGATGAAAAGGATTATGTAGGAGGCTGCCTTACATATGTGGTCTTAGGATTGGTGGCATAAAGTACATGGCCCCACTTTTATTTACTCCGTGTCAGTTTCCACCCTTGGGTCTTAATGGCACTGGTTGACTAACGAAGTCCTCGGTGGGGACTCCTTGTGTTCTTGTTCACACTCTGAATGTGGATGCTCAGTTCAGAACACCTGTCCATCCTTAGTCTTCTTACTTAAATTATAACCATTGCAACCCAAAATAACAACTCAAAACAAGGAGTCATAATTTATTAACAAATTCCCCTCCTTCTAGGGACTTTTATTTACAATCTACGTTATAATGAAGTAAAAGTCACTGGCCATACTTAGCCAGCTTATACTTTTCAAACTCACTTTCTGTTTTCATCATAGACACTTTCCCACACTGTTATTCCTTACAGTATGGGTCTAATCCTCTCATCACCAGGACCAGGGCTGTGTTGTTTTGCAGCCTGAGGTTAGTTCCTGCCCCACAGTCACAGTCCTTCCTGCCTGGGTCTTCACTACCCAGGTTGTGTCTCGCCCTGTGGCAGAAACCTAATTCTTTATTTACTTTTTTCTTGTCTGAAAACTGTCTTTCTCTTTTACTTTTCTCCTGCAGGTCTGGATGATATCTCCCCTCTGGCATTCAGGAAATACCATCAAAGATCCAGCATCTTTCAGCATCACTCCCCAGGAGGGCTATTCCAACTCTTATTCCCCAAAGCCTCCACACTGACCCAGGTAAATTGCTGTGCCCATTCTTGTCCTCTTTTCAGGGGTCACTCTTTCTTCCTCTGTGGCTCAGAGTCTTTTTTTCTTCCTTAGCTGTCTCTTGTTTCCTTTTTCTTTCCCTTTTTTTCTCCTCCGTCACTTCCCCATGGTGTCTTTAAAGGGCCTGCGTCCCCTTTTAATCTCACCTTGCTACCGGATCCCTGGTGTTGGCTCATCTGTAGGACAAGTGTAGCAGGGGCAAACTCTGATTCCCTGCTACAGCAGCTTAGACTGACCTGTGAAGATTGAATCAATTCAGCTTTGGGCTTTTTGACTGTCTTTACTTAGCCCGAGAGACCAGTAGGATAAAGTAGCACAGGGCCCATTTCAATTGTGAGAGAACTGGGATATGTCTCAGCAATACTCCAATCCTTTCACAGAAAAGATAAAGGCATGAAGTATGACACTGGAAGCAGGTGCATCAGAGAGTTAGTAAGCCCTGTATCCTTACTAACTTAAAACCTCCCCATCCTTATTTTCCTTAATTTTTAATTATTTTTTTTTATTATACCTGTTCAGTAAACTTGTATAAATAAAACAGAAGAGATCGAATAATACTTCATTATAATATATATGGACAAAAATCAAGATAACTTTGAATGTATCAGGTTTTATGAAAATAAACCTGAAACACAACAATATTTCCAGTAAAGAACTTGTGCACTTAATTTTTCTGCTGGTAAAAACAATAAAAGTATAGATAAATAACCTTAAGATTTGACATGCATGCACTTTATTCTGAAAAGTTAAATAGAAAATGGGTGGGTGGGTGGACTGGAGAAGAGAAGGATGACTGGAATCAAGAAAGATAAATTGCAAAAGATCTGAAGTGATCTTACACCCCATGCTTACACCAACCAGATCTTACTACCCTTGCCAGACTGCTGGCCATCTGGTGGTAAGATGGTATCGTTAGCAAGTCACTCAACTGGCTGGGCTCGAACCTGGTTAGTCATCTTGAATTATGTTGGGGAGAGTCTCTCCCTGTCCTGTCCTGTCCTGTCCATTGCTATGTCTGGCTGAACACGGCATCCATGCTTGGATTCTGCTCCAAGCGTGCAGGTCCTTTTTTTATTCTCATGCCACCAGGAGGTATCAGTCCTCTTTTCTGACCCCAGAATCTAGCTATCAGTTCTGTGTCTTCTCAGCCCTGGTGGTTAGGGTCTCTACCCCTTCAATCACAGTCCATGAGGCTTTTACTGCAAGGCCCAATCAGGGCTAGCTTAGCAGAACTTTAATTCTGAATGCTAACACTTATTAATTTGACAGTTGATATGAAGCCCCAGATTCCCACTTCCCAGAGCAAACTCATGATTGGAGCTTGCATCATTCCCTTGGGCAGGCGACATCCTGCTGGGTTCTGCATAATGCATTTCTCCCTCCTTTTTGTCAGGGTCTGGGTCCCCTGGAATAGAGGCTCCACAAAGCCTCTACTCAGCTGAACAGGCTCTCCCCCACTCACTTCACCCCTACCAGGGCAGGCTTCACTTGAACTCCACACTCCAGCTGCCATGGTCCCAAGTTTCTTTTTTACTTCTGGTGGTGCTGGGTGCGCTTTTACAACATCAGCCCCTATGCACCAGTCTATCTACATTTGGCATGAGCTGATGAAATGGGGCAGCCGTGGCGCCCAAGGCTCTCTGGTCCACGCTGCCGCCACCGACCCTGCAGGTCAGTCCTGGGGCCTGGTAGGTTTACAGGTGTTATAACCCCATTCCAGGAGCCTGGTGGGAGGGGCTTCTCAGGGTCTCATTTCCCTGGGGCCACTTGCCCTGGGATCTCCCTACTACCACAAATAAAGACAAGCTTTTGAGTACTAAGTACCCTTCCTCAGGTCTGACACCTGAAAGCTTGCTTATCTCTCTCTCAACTATACAGTTGGTTCAGTAAAAGATACTAGGACTATGCAAAGCTTCAGTCCCTGATTCGATTCCATGGAGATTTGGCCTGATTTGGTGGCAGAATCTCCAAATCCGAATCAAATGATAGGACCCTTTAATTTCTCTGAATCAAATTGGAAACCTTTGAATTGATTCGGAGAGATTAGGAAAGATTAAGAGATTCAGACATAGAGAGAGCTTTAAATGTTTTTTCTACATTCCTCTAGGTAGCAGGGGCTTGTGAATGCTGTGATGCTGGGGCGTATGCAGTGTGCCACAGAAGCACGGGGGGCTCCCCAGTGTGCTCAGCAGCAGACCCGGAAGTGGACCAGAAGCACTTCCAGTCCACTTCTGGGTCCACTGGGGAGCATGTGGCCCCCGCCCCTGTGCCCTCCCAGCTCAGTGACTGGTGCCTCATGGGTCGGGGGGGGGCACCCGAGGCCCCCCTGCAGCCGATCACTGCACTTCCAGTCCACTCCTGGGTTTGTTGCCAAGCATGTGGAGGGCCCCACTGCACTCCTTTGGGATGCTCCATGTACCCCATCATTGCAGCGATCATGACAGCACCTGCTACCTCAAGGTATGTAGAAAAAACTTTTAAAGCTGTGTCTATGTCTGAATTCTAAAGCTGTGTCTTCAGATTCAGATTCGACTGAATCGAATTAGGGACAGTGATCTACTTCGCACACCCCTAAAAGATATCACCCACACAAATCCTTGCCTCACATTTTTGCTGGACTGACATTACCACAATCGATACAGTTTGTTCTCTTTACCACTGTTTTTTGATAGCAACACTTGTAGTGTTTTTTGTATTGAGAAAGTTCCTGATTTTTTAGGCAATAAAGGAATGCTACTGAGTTCTCAGAAATATTTTTAAAAATTGCTATAGCTGCTTTCCTTGATTTACATTTACTACATTTAATAACTTGTGACACAAAGTTCATAGAGGTTTTTGCATATTTGTTTTTCTGGATTGGACTCATATGTATATCACTGGGAATTCATCACTGGTGCATAGGTATGATATCATTTGAAAGATCTTACCTATCTGTAAGCACGTGGCTTTGGGTAATCAAATCTAAAATTATATTTTGATTAGAAACATGAGTCAAAGTCAAAGATCAGCCCAAGCCTAATGGCCCACTGGATTTCTGTGATTAGGCACACCAGTTTCTGTAGCCACTGGAGCATAAAGCAGTGATATTAGTAGCATCATATCTGGCCACCTTTGACACTCATCCTGAATGACAGGCAGCCTTTGGCAGAAGTCCAGAGCAGGGCTTGAACTCATGTCTTCAGAGCTGTAGAGAGATGTCTTAACATCTTTTACCATTGCAGCCTCTGCTTATACATACACTGATGATATAACAATCATTCATAAGCATAGAAATTTATGTTTTCATCGGATGCCTATGTTAGTAACACTTTGCAGCTGTAGTGCCTTTGAGACTTCAATTTGTTTTAAAAATATGAAGAAAGTCCTACCACATTCCTGTCAGTTAGGCATAATTGACAAAGATCTTCCTTACCAAATGACTAAAGCTGGGCTTCTTACCCTGTGTTTAGACAACTCTCTAAGTGGCCTGATTAGCAAAGGGGCTGAGCACCCACCAACTCTCACTGAAACAGCAGTGTGCATGTTGTCTATGTCTGGCTGAAATGAAGTCCAAGACAGTTGTTATATACTTGACCCTTTTATAAATCAGACCAGTAAGTTGCCTAAATAGGGATTATTGAAGCTAACTTCTGCATTTGGTTTTGAAGATCTTGGCCATTTCTCTTTATTTTAAAGATGAGGAAACTAAGGCAGAGAGAGGAAGGGAGACTTGCTCGGAATCATGCAGGAAGCCAAGATCATCACAGAGCCAAGAACAAACTCATTTCCTTACTACCAGTCATGGAAATCTATGAATTTTGACAGAGTTAAAGCAGTGGTTTTCACCTCCACAAACGAAACCCAGATTTTACTTCCCAGCAGTAACCAGCTCATTTAAAATGCAATAAAAGAAAATGATGAGAGGAAAGATACACATGAACTCTGATTCATTTGCCAGGATTTCTCTTGTTTGCAATCTTTCCTCATGAGATATAACAATGTTGAAATTTCATACAGCCACAGAGTTTTTGAAGCCAACACTTTCCACTCAGCAATTTACTTAAAAAAACAGATGGGTGACCACCTTTCTTGGCTAATGATACAGGTGGCCAAGTACTGTCAACTACTCATCCTCTTTGTTTTATGTTGAATGAAGTGGAAGGAAGAAGGTGGATTTTTTTTGTAGGATGAAACTTGGAAATGAATCTTATATTTCATTTTTGCCCAATCTAAATCTAAGCCAAAATAAATTACTGGATACCAATCTGATTGCAGTCTCCAAGTTTAATAGAACATGCACCTACTGAAGACACTATCACTTCTCCTTTGATCATGCCACAGAGTAGCTTTTAACACATAGCTACCACGCTGCTTCATTCCTCCCTCTTAAACTAATTCCTGCCCCAAAATAAGAATGCCCCCCCCCCCCCTGCCAATCACAAAAAATTACCTGCTTGGCTCAGCTTGACCTCAGTCTCCGTGTAGATGTCAATTTTAACAGACATTCACAGTGCTAAAACCCATGCTGTCTGGGGACCTGACTCAACACCCATTGCTTTTTAGTAGGCATTGGATCATATCCTAAAATCTGGACTGACTCTTCTAAAACTTTTATAGATGGGGGACATTTATAGCCAGAATAGGCATAACCTGGTGTACTCGCTCTATCAGGGAATGATCAAAAAAACATTAAAAGTCCTTAGGTCACTAAGAGATGCTAAGAAAGGAGTGATGGGATCAGATATGTGATCCTAAGAACTGTGTTTCCTGCCATGCTACACGAGCATCAGATCTCATCATACCATACTGCCAATGGGATGATGGAATCTGGGGGATGTTACAATCCTGGGCTCCCCCTGTGCTGCCATGTTTTGTTCCCATGGCTAGAAGCCCTCTAATTCAATTGGCGCTCCCAACCCTGGTGATGCACCATGCACTCCTGTGGCTGAAAGCTCCAATTGGCTGCTGATGGTCCCAGCTATAGGGGCACA